GGAACACCAACATAGCCCTCTCTTCGGAGAGGCGCTGAGCAGCACTTTACCGTATCGACGAAAAACTGGTCGAACTGGGGGACAAGGAATTAGGACCCTTAGCACAGGGTAAATTATTTGGAGAGGACTTCCTTAAGGAATTAAATAAAAGGGTCAACATATTCACGTCCCTTAACAAGGCACAAACTTCAATGCGGAAAGTCTTCCGCGGTTCTCACACCCGTGGTGTTTTTGGAAGGGCTGGACGGCAGAGGGGCCGTGCCGCCAGCCGTTTTTGGCCATCCGGCCCCCGTACAACAAGGACTCAGCAAATGTTCTACCCAGACTCATCTAGTGAACATAGATTCCACCAATTCAGGGGATCTGATCGTGGCCGAGGCAGCCGAGGACGCTCACGAGCAAGATTCTCCAACGGTAAGTCGGAATCTTACTCTTCCTCTAACCCCCTGTCATATCGCAGGTCGTGTTTCTCTTTTTTTCCAGAACTGGAAAGAACTATCTTCAGACGCGTGGATAATCCAAACGGTGCAGGGCTATTGAATAGAGTTCGACTCGACCACGCTCCAGCTGGCCCCTCCACGTCCGATCCAGACTACACGGGCAGACGCCCGCCTCATAGACGCGGAACTCCGAGAACTTCGCTCCAAGGGTGCCATCCAACCGGCTCCGGATGCCACTGGTTTCTACAGCAATATCTTCCTGGTCAGGAAGAAAACCGGCAAATTTCGCCACGTTATCAATCTCAGGGAGCTCAATTCTCACGTGGTATACCGACATTTCAAAATGGAAGGTATACATCTTCTCCGGGACTTGCTTCGACGCGACGACTGGTTCACTCGTCTGGACCTCAAAGAAGCGTACCTTACCATTCCGGTACACAGAAACAGCCGTCCCTACCTCCGCTTCTTCTGGCACGGGATCCCCTGGCAGTTCACCTGTCTCCCGTTTGGCCTCAGCTCGGCCCCGTGGTGCTTTACCAAGATTATGAAGCCGGTGTGGCGAAACCAACCTCGCCACTGTGAACTGGAGAAGCCTGGTTGCTCGCCTGCTCCCTTTGGACTATGGCCCTGCAGGTTAAACTGTTTATTTCCCCTGCAGAAAGGCTTATTTGTGTGATCTGAGTGCCATTCATCTAATAATGTGCACTCAGATCCAGCTATCTGGGGATATGTGAAATGTCTGTGTGTTATGTGTAAATGTGACTTTATGTATTTTAAAGTGTTTTGTGTCTTTTTGCAACCATGTGCTTAATGGAGTCTTGTGTCTATCCTGGGAGATAATTGAATTACTCTCCAGGATAGAAGACTCTGAAACTGGTTTGGGCCAGAAAGCCATGCTTCATTTAGTCACAAAGGACTTTTTACTAACTTTTGAACCCCTTGTCTGATTTGTGCCATTTTTGAATATGTTGTTCCCCTGAATGGATTGATTGTGAATATGTAATTTTATGTGAATGTGATGTATGGTTTTAGAGTTATGAAAGTTGGGTAGAAAGTATGTTTAACTGTATGTGTAATTGAGTTTCCTCTCAGGGGAGGGAATATGTGGGATGTAACTGATATGTGATTGGTTGTTTTGTAACGCCCTGTGGGCTGTACTATGTTTGTGGATTGGGAATAAAAGAGACTGTATGTGACAGTACAGGGAGTTCCTGTTTTAACCCTCAAAGTGAAGTGTCGTCTCATTATTGGGGGAAGGATTTATTGTATGCTGTTCCAGTTTGACTGCTAGGAGAGTAAACCTATTCGTATGGTTCCTATTCAACTGTCTACAGCATTCATATGCTTGGGAGAATTTATTTGTTTCTCCGGTTCGGTGATTGTGGTGTCTGCCAGAGTGCTTGGAGTCCTCAGGAAGCGCTAGGAGCATCCTTTAACGGAGGTACCCAGTCGGGGTGCCAGGCGATCCGTTACATTGGTGGCAAGCGGTGGGATGGCGTCCTAGTGCGAGGTAAAGCAGCTCAGAGACACAGTTCGTTTGGATTTACAAATTGAGGGCAACGCTAGCACACGTGCAGCGACCCTGGGAGCAGAGGTATCCAGCGACTTGGAGCAGACAAGTATGGAAGGCTCTGGCGATGATTGGATGGCCGAGGTGAGGCAGCGAGTGGCCCAGTATGGGGATGATTTACCCATGGAGGTACGCCGGGTGATCTGGAACCAGGTCACGGCCGAGCGAAACACAAGGCTGGCCCGAGAATTCCGGCTGGCGAAGGAGAGAGAGTATGCTCAGCGGAAGGAGTGTTACAGCAGCCGAGTAGAGGCTGCATCCGAGGAGGCTAGCCGTCTCCCCCTGAGGCGGCCGCAGGAACCCGAAGTAGGGGTCCTCATAGACTGGTCCAGTGAGGAACCACAACAGGCATGTGGAGATGGGACCGGCCCAGATCCCCAGCAGCAGCCGGAGTTGCCAGGTGCGGAAGCAGGTGGTCCTTACTCGCAAATGTTGAGGGACCTCACAGACTGGTCCTGGGCAGACCCACAGATGGCAGGTGGAGATGGGACGGCGGTCTCTCAACCGGCCCTACAGGGATGCTGGGCGGTCAGCCCAGATCTCCAGCGGCAGTATGTACCCCAGGGAGCTGAAGGTGCAGTCCTTCCTCCCCAGCGGCAGTGTGTACCCCAGGGAGCTGAAGGTGCAGTCCTTCCTCTCCAGCGGCAGTGTGTACCCCAGGGAGCTGAAGGTGCCGTCCTTCCTCCCCAGCGGCAGAGTGTCCTGCAGGGAGCAGAGACCGTCAGTCTCGCACCCCAACCACAGGACAAAATAATGAAAGGGGAGACAGCTGGTCCCCCTCTCCACCAGCAGAGAGAGTGTCAGGGAGAGGAGCCTGATACCCCTTCTCCCCAGCGGCAGTTTACAGTTCAGAGAGAGGAGCTTGTTACACCCTCTCTCCAGCGGCAGCCTAACCCAGCAAGGGGAGATGTTACACCCCCCAACAGTGCAGATGGGACTGTAGTCTCTGCACTTACAGCACAAGGGGTAGGGACAGTCGGTCCTGTTCCCCAGCCACAGAGCGGTGTATCCAGAGGGGAGACAGTCGGTCTCTCCCTCCCACAACCAGGCTCCCACCAGGCTACTTCCGTGGTAGCACTGGCATCAGGGCAGAGTACCGCTGGTCTCTGCCCACTCAGCAACCCACCAAGGCAGCCTAACAGTTGCCCACACAGTCGTGGTGAGGCACCTGGACATGGACAAAGTTCTCCTCTACCCAGGTGTAGTAACCAGTTATTGTGGGTGGGCTGTACTGCTGTTTCTGTTTTGTGGGTGGGTTGCTGGACTAACCAGGGCACTGACCGGCAGGAGGTCAGATACCCTGTTAGTCTAGTTGGTAAAGGGGAGAAGTGTGGCGAAACCAACCTCGCCACTGTGAACTGGAGAAGCCTGGTTGCTCGCCTGCTCCCTTTGGACTATGGCCCTGCAGGTTAAACTGTTTATTTCCCCTGCAGAAAGGCTTATTTGTGTGATCTGAGTGCCATTCATCTAATAATGTGCACTCAGATCCCAGCTATCTGGGGATATGTGAAATGTCTGTGTGTTATGTGTAAATGTGACTTTATGTATTTTAAAGTGTTTTGTGTCTTTTTGCAACCATGTGCTTAATGGAGTCTTGTGTCTATCCTGGGAGATAATTGAATTACTTATCTCCAGGATAGAAGACTCTGAAACTGGTTTGGGCCAGAAAGCCATGCTTCATTTAGTCACAAAGGACTTTTTACTAACTTTTGAACCCCTTGTCTGATTTGTGCCATTTTTGAATATGTTGTTCCCTGAATGGATTGATTGTGAATATGTAATTTTATGTGAATGTGATGTATGGTTTTGGAGTTATGAAAGTTGGGTAGAAAGTATGTTTTAACTGTATGTGTAATTGAGTTTCCTCTCAGGATAAGGGGAGGGAATATGTGGGATGTAACTGTGATGTGATTGGTTGTTTTGTAACGCCCTGTGGGCTGTACTATGTTTGTGGATTGGGAATAAAAGAGACTGTATGTGACAGTACAGGGAGTTCCTGTTTTAACCCTCAAAGTGAAGTGTCGTCTCATTATTGGGGGAAGGATTTATTGTATGCTGTTCCAGTTTGACTGCTAGGAGAGTAAACCTATTCGTATGGTTCCTATTCAACTGTCTACAGCATTCATATGCTTGAGAGAAGGTATACGCTTCTCTGGTTCGGTGATTGTGGTGTCGGCTGCAGTGCTTGGAGTCCTCAGGAAGCGCTAGGAGCATCTTTCAACGGAGGTACCCAGTCGGGGTGCCAGGCGATCCGTTACAATTCTGCTCTGTGTCAGTGTGTATCAGGGGCTCTGAGGACAGGTGTCAATCCATATCTGCCAAGTGACCCTATGTAGGAGAAAAGTCTCTATTCTGCTCTGTGTCAGTGTGTATCATGGTCTCTGAGGACAGGTGTCAATCCATATCTGCCAAGTGACCCTATGTAGGAGGAACAGTCTCTATTCTGCTCTGTGTCAGTGTGTATCAGGGGCTCTCAGGACAGGTGTCAATCCATATCTGCCAAGTGACCCTATGTAGGGGGAACAGTCTCTATTCTGCTCTGTGTCAGTGTGTATCATGGTCTCTGAGGACAGGTGTCAATCCATATCTGCCAAGTGACCCTATGTAGGAGGAACAGTCTCTATTCTGCTCTGTCAGTGTGTATCAGGGGCTCTGAGGACAGGTGTCAATCCATATCTCAAGGTGTCAATATGTCATATGTCAGGTGTCAATC